TTATTATACGTACTACTACTCCTCTCTCTCGTCAACGTTAAGTTACGTACTTAGTACCAAAACAAACCTAACTTAGTTCTACGACTCCACTACTACGTACTCTCACACACACAATATGCATCTCTCTCTCTCTCTCTCTCTCTCTCTCTCTCGGTAAGGAAGCTGGTAATTGGGGTTCAAGCACCAACCTCAAACCAGCACATATTATGTTATTTCTCATGCTAATCTTATTCTATTTGCTTCTGATTCTCTCACATTGGTTTCATATAAGGAATGCATATGACAGAAAGGGGCAAGAATATTTTTTTTGACTTGAAATTAGCTGAAAATTAGTAGGAGGCAGATAAAACAATCAACCAAAAGAAACTCATCTGCACAGCATAAACTAACACACGGACTATCCTCAAATAAGACAACAATGATAATCAAGGAGGTAAATTGCGATAAGCAGACTGGACTTTGGACTCTAACATGCAAACATACTTATCGAGCATAGAAACAAGAGCTTCAAATTCAGTCACTTGCCGGTCTATTGCATCTATTTGTTGCACATATTCATCGAAGTTATCATTTTTGGCCTTCAATTGCTCCACAAAAACCCTCAGGCCTGAAGCTATATCACCATAACTGTTGTATTCCTCTGCTACTCTGAGGTTCATCTTCTCTAGAAGCTCTAGCAGGTTATTTGTTCCCTTGAAAAAGACTTTCAATGAGTTTCAACAAAGAAATAGTGTATGTGAGTGTGCACAAGAGAGAGAGAGAGAGAGAGAACACAGTTCTATATGAACACCCGGAATACCCACCATAATCTCAAGTCAAGAGAGATAACACATTTCTATATGAACACCTGGAATACCCTCCATAATCTCAAGTCAAGGAAGTATCCATTAGATGATTATGTTTGGATTATGTTCTAACATACAGTCAGAGACTCTAGTCATTTTCAATTTCAAGGCTTCTCACAGGACTAATTGAATTCTGTACACTTCAACATCATAAGTACATCTAAAACATATAAAAAGGCATGTGCAACTTGCAGTCATTATGCAAAATTTCTCAAGAATTCAATAGCTACTCAAACCCACTAACAGATTCCATGGAGGCAGAGTAACTAGTTATTTTTAAAATATTATCTCCAGAATCTTGCCATCAGTAAGTAATCTCATCTCTATGGGTTGCCTCTTCCTATTTGACCTGCCACCAAATTCCAAACATCTCTCCTAGTAACAATCCTGCTTGGATATTTGATCTTTCTTTCCGAAGAAATGTCCAATCAAACTTATAGCCTCATAATACCACTGATTGTTTCTTTTTCTGGAAAGTGATAGAGTACCTAATATCTCTACCATAATGCATTCAGGAACTTCTATCTGAAGACGACCACTGTTGGTAAAAATAGAAAAGAAAAGCCAGGATTTAGTAACAGTATAGACTACTTTGCCTTATTACTTTTAGTACCAATAACTGTTTTTCTATCAAAGTAGATGACAATACCAATAACTATTTTGCTATCAATGTAGATGCATCAACTATTTTTTAACAATGACAGATATGTACAAGCGAACGCTGACTAGTGGAGAGACAAATGAGTTTCGGGGATAATGGGCCTACATCAGGGGTCAAGGCTGAGCCCATATCGCTTTGCTTGGTTATGGACGAAATAACAACGTACGTACAAGATGAGGTATTGTAGTGTTTGTTGTTCACGGATGACATAGTTTTGATCGATGAGACTAGAGGCGGAATCAACGCGAAGTTAGAACATTGGGGGTATGCTTTAGAATCTAAAGGTTTTAAAATAAATCGAACTAAGACATAATATATGGAATGCAAGTTTAATAACAATAGCAGTAGAAACGAGGATGTAGTCAAGATTGATGGTTAAGAAATACCCAAAAGAGATTGTTTCCAAAATCTAAGGTCGATAATCCAAGAGAATAGAGTGATTGAGGAAGATGTCGCATATAAAATTAGAGCTGAATGGGTGAAATTGAGATGTGCATCTGGAGTTTTATGTGATTGTCGCATACCATTGAGACTGAAGGGGAAGTTCTATAAGATGGCTAAAAGACAAGGTATGCTTTACAAAACAAAATGTTGGGCCGTCAAGAAACAACATATCTATAGGATGAGTGTAGCTGAGATGAGGATGTTGAGATAAATGAGCGGTTAGACAAGAAAGGATACAATTCAGAATGAATACATTGAGGGAATCCAGGTGTGGCTTCAATAGGAGTTAAGAAGAGGGAAAGTAGACTTAAGTAGGTTAGCCATGTGCAACGCAGACCTAATACAACACCAGTTAGGAGGTGCGATTTGGTTCAAGTGGAAGGATCTAAAAAGACAAGGGATATGCCCAAAATGACATAGATAGAAGTAGTGCAAAATAATATGATGACTTTTGGTCTTACTGAGGGTATAACCCTTGATAGAGAAGAACGAAGGAACAAGATTCATGTACCCGACCTCAAATAATTTATATAAGGCTTGGATGATGATGACGTAGATGACAAAAAAATTACTAGTAGAGGAACGGCCCTAAAGGATAATAACCTAGTCTTGAAAATGCATCAGTCAAATCTGCTGCCCTGATCAACCCTGTGAATGCATTCATCATTCCCTAAACAACTCTTTTTCTGTTTGGATAAGTACCTATTCAAAACCGTAAAAAAACATTGATTATGAGGTGACATGAGTATACATCACCCTAGGAGTATTAACAGGGAAGAGAAAATTATCAAGAAAGAAAAACAGGAAACAGGGAACATGAGTGGAGGTAAGCTTCACAAAGAGGGAGAGAAACTCCAAGCCAAAAAGGGATCCCAAATCCACACCACCACCATGCTTGAGAATATGGCCTTAAGTTATCTCACTCACTCATGATATTAACACGAGAGATCACTTCTAATATCCAATTAATCTCGTGAGCATACATCAGAGTTGTGAAAAACAGCATGTCGCAACGGACTAGCCCAAACCCCGTGTTGATTTCAATGAAATACACAGTATCGCCCGATTCTAGATAAGAACCGGCGATTCACTACAGTAAACCGCCCGTGTCGCTACAGTAAACTCGAATCGCTACAGTAAAACCCAACAATATTCAAAATACTCTCTGTGGGCCCCCCATCGTACACGCACAACCGACTTCCTTACCGTGCTCGACTGAAGAATACGTTAGAGTGACGTTGGGATTGCCTTTTATAATGGCATTCAGTCTCCAAAGTCTTCGATGTGGGACTTTAGTTTTAATTTTTAAACCACCGCTAGTAGCAACAAGATGGCATTTTGTTCATGCAAATTCCTCCGTAATGACCATTTGCTCCCTCATGCAAATCTTAAGCCTATATTCTTAAGACTTCGACGATGTAACTTCTTGAGCAAACATGAAAAAGGATGTTTTTTAAGTCCAATGCACTACGTGCTTGAGTATCTAATTTTTAGGGAACCCAATTTTTTTTGTCTCAAAATAATCATCTAGTTATTATTAATTAGATCCTAAAAATCAAATAAAAAATATCCTAGTGACATTTAATCATTGATTGTTTTCCCACCATCGTTTTACTTTTTTGTCAAAAAATAAATAAAAGTTACCTTAACAAAAAAATAAAAGTTATGACAAAACAAAAAAACGTTACATTGAAAGAAAAATAAAAGTTATGGCAAAAAAAAAATATTTGTCAAAAAAATAAAAGTTACCTTGACAGAAAAGACAAAAGTCATGACAAAAAAATAAACATTACCTTGACAAAAAAATAAAAGTTATGACAAAAAAATAAAAATTGCCTTGACAAAAAAATAATTTTTTGTCAATAAAAATAAAAGTTACCTTGACAAAAAAAATAAAAGTTATGACAAAAAAATAAAATTTACCTTGATAAAAAAATAAAAGTTACGACAGAAAAATAAAAACTACCTTGACAAAAAATAATATTTTGTCAAAATTAAAGTGCAATTTCAAAAATTGGTATGGATTTTAATAATTTCTACATGATAACCAAATCTTATACTTTATTTATTAATTTAGTTGTATTATAAATTATGTAATTTACTATCTTTTATTTTATTTATTAATTTATTTGCATTATAAATTATGTAATTTACTATTTTTTCTTACAATTGTCAATAATATACTTTAAATTAGATGATATTATAAGATATTTTGGATTTGTTATTATTTGTATAGTAAAATAATTATAAAATATAAACCAACAATTTCAATTTTTGTATATAAGATTATAGTTAGTTAGTCATGGCCATTTTTTCATCGATTTTGGTGGCCATTTTTTGTTGCCTTTTTTTTATCGATTTAATCTATTCTTTATTGTAATCCATGTATGATTATATATTTCATCCATGATAATTTTATGACTTTTCTTTTATGTGATGTAAATTTAAAGATTAACATAAGTTCATACATGGAAAGAACATCTCAATATTCGCATATTGATGAAAAAAATGAAAGTTAATAATGTAGTACCCCCATTTCTTATTGGATTCTTAAAGAAAAACATTTATAATAAATTTTAATAATTTTTTTGGATTTTATTTAAGGTTTAATCCGACCGATTCGATCGATTCCCGATCCGGATCGCCGATTCACCGATCCAGATGGGTTTTTGAAGTTCCCGATCCAAGGCACCAATCCATTTTTTAAACCATTGGTAGACATATTCTTGTTGCATCCTACCTAATAACGCCCAAGGAGTTCCCTCTACTACCAATGACCCAAAGAGAGAATTAATAATAAGCAAGTTAAGAGGACTGTCACTTCTTAGTTACAACCCTTTGTAAGGCCCAAGAAAGCCCCACGTCTCTATCAAAGGCACAATGGAGAAAGATGCAATCCATGGTCTATATAGCCCTCAAAGACATGCTGATGACCTCAATCCCAATGATAAGTAGGACCTTATAACCAGCCAAAGGCCATGGCACTTGGCACAGTTGAGTGAAAAAATTGATCCACTTGAAAGTTTCAACAATGGCGAAAATCGAAAGAATTTCTCTTTTGAGAAAACATGGGGGAGTCAAAGCTTTGACTTACTGAGTTATGCAAATTTCTTGATGTCCCATGAAAGTGTCCGAACGCAGCGGAAAAAAATGCATTACAAAAACACAAAGATTTAATGAAGGTTTCAACTTTTGCAGATCCAATTGCGTGTAGTACGGATCTCCCTTCTTTCTTACGAGGGTGCTGTTTTGCGGGTTGAGAGTTCAATGCTTGCAAGCTAGGATATCCCTCTTTTGATTATTAGAACCACAAGGATCGATTCACACCCGAGAGTTCTCACTTTGCAAGAAGAAGGTTACTTTCCTAGGTTTCTAGGGAGAGAGAGCACAAAGGAGAGCGGGGCATAGTTCTCTATTACGTCCTTTAGTGAGATTTAGATGAGGAGCATGACCCTTGGCAACAAAGGTATCTATGGGCTTACGATTGTGCATCCTAAATCTCTCTTAAGATTTTTCTAATGCCAATTTCCCAAGACAAACTATGGAGCCTCTTAGAATGGCCGCTCTTGATCTTAACAATGAGAAAATAATATTGGCCTCTCTGATGTCCTTCAGGTTAAAGTTAGAGGACAACCACTCCTTAGTGGTACCATTATCTCCCTGTAGTTATTTGCCATTAGATTGCCATTTACATAGAACAACATGATTAAGAAACTTATGGCATTTAACATAAACGTAGTGG